GTTTCAACGGGATTCAACGGGAGTTTAATTCCCCCGTTCCCTGTTGAAAAGGCACACAGGTGTTTAACATCTCTCCCTTTACTCTGCCTCTTTCCCACAGCATGCAAGTGGGCTGTTATGGCATACGGGGATGGGGGCAGCTCGCGCTCAACTTCATGAACATGGCGAGCCTTGTACGTGAGAGGCGCAGTGGAGGAGTTAAGAAGACTGAGAAATTGAATGATTTCAATGTCTTTGTTTTTTCATTTTTATCCTTTGTTAAGTGTAAAAAAGTTGTAAAACACTGAAAGAAATAAGAACACACTAAAACAAAGAAGAAGAAGACACTGTTTTCTGTCTGTCTGGTTTGTCTGTCTCTTTGCCTGTCTGTCCTTTCATTTTTTCTCTTCTTCGCCCATCTTATTTCTTCTTCTACTTCACGTATTTGCACTCTTAGTCAATAGTTCTGTGACAATATATATAAGGGCAGTTGTGACTTGCAAGTGCGACTTGGATTATCTTCCAGGGCTTTGGCTGTGGATACTTTCAGGTCCGCTCCACAAATGCAAAAATCCTTTATAGAGCTGAATTAGGATGGACTACTGGAGGGAGATCCCACTACGCACGTGAGTGGAGTAGTGGACATGGTGTGCGACTCCAATGCACCGCGGATCGGGACGGCAATCAGCGGTGTTTTTTTTTTCGTATTTAAGGGGATGGGTATATATGTATTTCCGTGGCGCCCTATTGGTCGGTCTTGCTTCTTTTTTTGTTTTGAAGGTCCTAGAGGGGTCCCCGATGTGAGTGAAAATCATGACATTTTTTTTCGCTCTGATTTTCACGTACTTTCGACTTACCTTTTGGAGGGCGCCCTCGCAGGAAAGAAAGGCCAACAGCTAAAAGTTTCGGCCTTTGCCATTATGACGGGATGTCAGTTCGTGTCAGACTGTGTGCGAATGCTGTCTGCAGTCGAAGCAGCGGTGCTTATTGGTTGGCTGGGGCGCCCGTCACTCGGACGCCCTTGGTTACCACAATTTTTTAAAAGTTTTATGTTAACGGAAAGGATGCCACACGATGTCGCCCGCATGCCGCGCACCCATCACACTACACCAAATACCTGGATAGTGGGATCTCCCCCCTGGATTCAGGGCATACTCTATTACTCACACTACCACGTACTTTTGCAAATTTTACGGGTGCCAATTTGTGATTATACGTCACGCCCTGGTCACGCACCACACCCTTATTCACCACAAAACAGAAATGACACTGTAGCGACCAGGTCTCCAAATGTAAAAATACGATCCTTGCGTTCACACAGGGCAACACACAAAAAAAGCTGTTCCCCTTTTTGATTTTTTTTTTTTTTTTTTCCCTTTCCAGAGTCCTCCCGCACATATTTTTGCAAAATCGAATTCTACAACGCTGCACACCGCAAATTTTTGTTTTTGTTTCCAGAAAGAAACAGCCGAAATAGAAATGTGATTTTGCAGGGACCTCTAGTGACCCCGTGGCTGTCCAGGCCGCTGACATATGCGTGCCCTTTTCTGTGATAACGCAAAATATGCGCCCCTTGTGACCCAAAAAATCACATATAATTTGCGATTTTGCGAAAATACGTGATATTGTGAGTATGCCCTCAGATTCCTGGATGAATCTGGCCGCAGTTACAACCCCCAATGAATGCGTCTGACCGCAATTATGGTCAGAACTGAGTAGAAAAAGTCCTTAGCTGGTGTGAGTCTGCCCTGAATCGGCCCGTGGCTACAATTCGATATTCTCATGCCCTGTATCTGGCTGTAATTACGACCCCCAACACCCATGTATCGGGATAATTTCGGGAAAATGCATGTGTGCGCATACCCTCATAGGTGATCGTAACGACACTACGGCCACGGGTAATTGCGTCGCGTTGTTACTGCAGAGAAGCAGATAGTGCGGCCAAACTCGCACAAGTTGCTTGTTCTTTCCTGAACGGGGTCGCCCCTATCGTTAGTATATACATCTGATTAAATTCAAGATTCGAACTCATGATTTGTTTATTAACGTGAGGGCAAACTTGCACAAGTTTCTTCTTTCCCCGGAGGGGGTCGCCCGTAACGTTATTATATCCATCTTATTAAATTCAAGATTCGAACACGTGATCTGTTTATTAACGCTTACCTGTGTGTACCATTCTGCCACATGGGGTAGGTATACCCTTCCTTTCTATTTCTGGCATTTTTATCAGATACTAAACTGATCAGAACACATACCTCATTTGATCTTAGCCGAAAGGCCAAGAAAGGTATGCAAGGAGGTGCAGGGACGTATTCATTCCAATCTATGGGCAGAAACGGAAGGAGGTGCAGGGACGTATTCATCCGAATCTATGGGCAGAAACGGAAGTTAATCCTTTCTCTGGTTAACCTGTGGGGGCAAGCTGTTCCTGGCCACATACTCACACCTGCGGCAAGGTCTCACTAGCAAAGACGATTGGATTAAGCTCCTGAACCTGGACGTGTTTTAAGAAGAGGTGCAGAAAAGCAGTTCAATCTCCATTTTCTGCACCTTTCCACAAACGTGTCCAGATGCAGGCACTCAATCCAATGCTCTTTGCTAGCTTGTTAAAAAAATGAAAGATAATTCACCTGGACAGCCGAAGGGACGTATGCCAGGTCTCAGGCAAAGGGGAGCGAAGGCTGTCGTATGCCGTTTGTGCACGATATCTGAGTAGAAAAGAGAATTCCCAGATCCCCACAGTCAGAGTCCACTCCGACTTTGCTATCGTAGTATGCGCCCACCAGAGCCTACCCACGAATCCAATATAGGGTCACACAATATTTATACTTGGGGTGAGGGCAGAATATAGCAAGTCGGGTATGAGGCAGCTATGCTTGCACGGCCCCCCTGTATAGGCTTAGGAGTAGTGGCAGGTAGATAGTGAGACGTGAAAAACAGGAAGGAAAAAAAAAGAATATAGCAAGTTGGCAATGCAATTACGGGCTAAGGGAGCGTTGCCGCAAGGAAGGACGGCTCTCTGAGGGGCAGGCCGCCCTGGCCCTCTTCGTGCTAAGAAAGCACTAGCCTGGCCACGTGAAAGACTCGAAGTAAAAAGAATGCAGTTAACGGTTTCATGTGACTATGAAACCCCGCATTCATTGAACGCGGGCTCAGCGTTCATTGAACATGGGTCTCCTCGGCCCGTTCCCGTTCAAACGGCAACATAGTCACGTGACCGTTGTAACTGGCCATACGAGTCAATGGAGCAGCTGTGATGGTCCTGCCCTCACTCCCAAAATAATGACGGCGCTGGTGGAACCACCATTGGAAAGGTTTCTGAAATAGCATCGACCTGCTGGATAAGAAAGTGTGCGCTAGAGGGGATCTGCCTGCTGACCTCTCAATTGACCAAGAGTGGGGATATGTGGCTTCGGCGGGGAGAGCAAAGGCCAAGTCCCACTTACCCAGATTACTCATTTCTGACCGTCCATTCCGAAGATCAATGGCCAGAAAGGAAGAATCAGAGCACGTGGGACGTGGCGCCGGTACTTCTGTGGGTGGTTTGGAAGGAGTGAAACGAGAGGGGATTTCAGGAGAAAAGTCTGTCTGAGAAGTAGCCAGAACTTCTGTTCAAAGCAGTGTTTAAATCAGAGACTCAAGTGGATTGGAGGAGGAAAGCTCAAAATGGGCGCTTGGAGAAGGGATCGAGGTGGTTTGCGAGAACCTGGTCCATCAACAAACAGCTCGCAGAATGAATCAACAAACAGCTCGCGGAGATCCAGCAATCTGGGAAGTTGCAATTTCCAAATGTTTAGTGCAGGGGAGTTTAGTAGGAGGGCAGACAGAATCAGGGCACTCGGTTCTATAAGATTTCTTAGTTCGGTCGTGGTAGACAAAATAAGAGGGAGGTGGGTGGTAGAGTCCCGAGGCCGAAAAGGGAAAACCGCATGCTTCGTTGGACGGGTTGGTACATACTGGTTGATGGGTAGTCAACTCTCCCTTGTTCAGCCCAATACAGCGTACGCCGTACGGTCATTATTGCTGTATTTAGACTGAAAGATAGCCCAAATACAGCTATAATGACCGTGCGTTGTATGAGGGTGAAGAAGGTAGTGGACCAGCTAAGTAGGGGAGACCCCACTATACTGTAGTGCTTGACCATTGTAAACCTGTCCTGCATTTGGGCTACTTTCACCATCCCTGGGTTTTGTTTCCACCTGTGCTTGTGTGCAACCTCGTCATATAGAACGCACTAGCCGAGTGGCTCCACATCAGGTGTAGGGAATGAATCCCATAACCTATGATATGCAGCTTCATATAGAAAGGAACTTGGATGTTTAAAAGAGGTCGCGGGTGGGGGTGGGGGTGGGGGTAGGGGTGGGAGTGGGGGAGTGGGGGGGTGGGGAAGGTTGGTGGTGTGTAAAAAAATAAAGAAGAAAAAGGGNATAAAGAAGAAAAAGGGTCATGCCCAAATTTCACAATAATGTTCTTCTAAAATAGGTTATAGCGGGTGGGAGTGGAGAGGGGGGGGGGGGGGGGGTTGGTGCTGTGTAGAAAAATAAAGAAGAAAAAGGGTCATGCGGCTCATGCCCAATCGCACAAGAGTTAGCTTGCGTACAGGTAACTTTTGTATGCTGCTGCTTTTTTTTTTTTCTTTCTCCTGGGGTTAAGTAGCTCAAGTTCCCACTTACCTAGTCTCTTTGTCTCTGACCGTCGATCCTTGTAATCTATGGTCCTGAAGGAAGAAACCAGGCAAGTAGAACCTCTCCCCCCACATCCTGTGGTACAGTATGGGCATCACAATGAGCGTCGGTTTTGAGGATTTCCTTCTAGGTGGATCGTGGCGGTTTTTTGACGGCATAAAGTTTACTGTGACTTTTAGTCAGGGAGAAAAATAAGAATTTCACGGTGGCGTAATAAAGTTGATGAAAATCTTCGTTTCAGAAGAAGAGAGATAATGGAACTGATGGAAGCGGTGGTTGTCTTTATGTTTTGTCTACTTCTTGTTTGCTCTATGTATGCATGTAATGGCGCATCAGTGTTGGAGCAGAACCCATGGGTAGAAAGCAATAAGCCAGTCTATGTATTAGCGAAGGAGGAGACAGCCTTGGTAACCATGAGAACACGCTGGTCTAGAAGGTGGGCTCTCGCCTTCAGCATTCATTTCCTCCCTCCCTCCCTCCCTCCCTCCCTCCCTCCTTCCCTCCCTTCCTTCGCATATTGGCGACATTCACTGTGGTAGTTTCAAAAAGAGACAAAAGATGACCCAATGATGTTTTTTTCTATAATGACTCTAATGACCCTTTTCGTCCGAAATTCTGAAATGGCCAGTGTTTTGTTTTTGACACTTCTTGTCTTTTCCTGTCTTTGGTCCAATGGAATGGAGTCAATGGACCATCCCATCTGTCTGGTGTGCCCCTGCTTTTGGATCAAAATGAACAAATGTGGGCCTCTTCTCGATGTCTATTTACAGCGTTTTTACAAATTCAAATAATCAGTTACGTGCATGTAACCACCTCACCGGAGTATATCTTGCGTCTAAAGCTTTCATAATATAATATCCGATTTTGAAACTGGGAAATTCCGCTAGCGCGACTCAATCGACACCAGAGAAAGAGGTGCTTGCACGCGATGACTGCCTGTGTTTTGTTTTCAATTTGTGTCTTTGCCATCACTTGGCATAAGATCTGAGAAAATCCCGTCAGGTTTCATAGTGCCTGCAACAGTCCGAGCGGCTGTCTGCATCTGCATGATCACACGGCCCTGGTGCGCAGATCGTGCACCTGGCTCTCTGCACCATGCGGATGGAGACGGCGTGGGTCGGGTGCAGGCACTCTGAAAGGTGCCAGCCCTATTTTATTTCAGTTTTTTTTTTTGTTTTTTTTTTTTTTGGTTGCTTCTGTGGTGCCCAAATTCTCAGTGAGTGAGAATAGAGGATGATGGTTCGCTTCTTGTTCCGATGTCATCAGCACTTGCTGGAACCGTCTTGAAAGTGGAAAGGTTGTGAAGCTGGGGCGGTGGCATTTGTACGAGGGGCAGATAGCAAACTCGTGGCTGAATTCTGTAGCTTTGCCTTTATGCCATTTCCAAACTCATGCCGCCTTTCCCTAAAACGTGGTCCGTAAATCTTGACGTCCGTTACACCTGATGAACCCTTCTCTCCTCCCTCCTTCCCTCTCTCTCTCTCTCTCTCTCTCTCTCTCTCTCTCTCTCTCTCTCTCTCTCTCTCTCTCTCTCTC